GGGGGGACATTGGGGGACATTTGGGGACATTGGGGAGGGACTGGGGGGGTTTTGGGGACATCAGGGCCATCCTTGTCCTCAAGGCCACCAAGATCACCCTGTCCCCAGGGTCACTGAGGTCACCAGGGTCACTCTGGGGTCAGAGGTCACCAGGGCCACCAGTGTCCCCAAGGCCACAGGGGTCATCAAGGTCCTTGATGTCACCAGGGCCGCTCTGGGGTCACCAAGGTCACCTGGGCCATCAGTGTCCCCAAGGCCACCAGGGTCACTCCCAACCCCGGGATCACTGATGTCCATAAGGCCACCAGGGTCTTTGTCACCAGGGCCACTCTGGGGTCACCAAGGTCACTGATGTCACCAGGGCTACCAGTGTCCCCAAGGCCACCAGGGTCACCCTGTCCCCAGGGTCACCAAGGTCACCTTTATCACCAGGGTCACTCTGGGGTCACCGAGGTCACCAAGGTCACCAGTGTCACCCCTTCCCTGGGGCCACTCTGGGGTTACCAATGTCCCCAAGGTCAGCAGGGTCACCCCATCCCCAGGGTCACCGGTGTCACCTTTGTCACCAGGGCCACTCTGGGGACACTGAGATCACCTTTGTCACCAGGACCACCAGTGTCCCCAAGGCCACCAGAGTCATCAAGGTCACCAGTGTCACCAGAGTCACTCTGGGGTCACCAAGGTCGCTGATGTCCCCAGGGCCATCAGTGTCCCCAAGGCCACCTTGGTCACTCCCAACCCTGGGGTCACTGATGTCCCCAAGGCCACTGGGGTCAGTGATGTCACCAGGGTCACCCAGGCCACTAGGGTCATCAAGGTCACCGATGTCACCAAGGCCACTCTGCGGTCCCCAAGGTCACCAGGGCCACCCCTTCCCCAGGGCCACTTTTGTCACCAGGGCCACTCTGGGGTCACCGAGGTCGCCAGGACCACCCCTTCCCCAGGGTCACCGATGTCCCCAAGGCCACCAATATCACCCTGTCCTCAGGGTCACCAGGGTCACCTTTGTCACCACGGCCACCAGTGTCTCCGAGACTACCAGTGTCACCCTATCCCCAAGGCCACCGAGGTCACCTTTGTCACCAGGGCCACCAGTGTCCCCAGGGTCACCAGTGCTACCCCTGTCCCAGGGCCGGGCAGGCCACTGCTGTCACCAGGGGGTGGTGACACAGGTGTCACAGGTGACACAGGGGGTGTCATTGGCACAAGTGTGTCCCCTGGGGGGTCTCAGTGACACATGGGTGACCCCCAGGTGACAGAGGTGACACAGGTGACCCCCAGGTGACACGGGTGACCCCCAGGTGACAGAGGTGACACAGGTGACCCCCAGGTGACAGAGGTGACCCCCAGGTGACAGAGGTGACACAGGTGACCCCCAGGTGTCCCCAGGTGACCCCGCAGGTGGCTGTTCTGGGACAGGCTCCTCCCCAATGCCACTGTTCCTGTCCCTGGGGGGTGGGGGGTGACACAGTTGACCCCAGGTGACTCAGGGGGGGTGTCAGTGACACAGGTGTGACCCCAGGTGACACAGGTGACCTGCAGGTAACAGAGGTGTCCCCAGGTGTCCCCCCAGGTGGCTGTTCCAGGACAGGCTCCCCCCTGATGCCACTGTCCCTGTCCCTGGGGGGTGGGGGGTGACCCAGGTGACACAGGGGGGTGTCAGTGACCCAGGTGTGACCCCAGGTGACCCCCCAGGTGACACAGGTGTCCCCCCAGGTGGCTGTTCCAGGACAGGCTCCCTCCTGATGCCACTGTCCCTGTTCCTGGGGGGTGGGGGGTGACCCAGGTGACACAGGAGGGTGTCAGTGACACAGGTGTGACCCAGGTGACACAGGTGACCCCAGGTGGCACAGGTGACCCCTCAGGTGACCCAGATGACACAGGTGTCCCCCCAAGTGACCCAGGTGACCCCCAGGTGACCCAGGTGTCTCCCCAGGTGACCCCCTAGGTGATGCAGGTGACCCCCAGGTGTCCCCAGGTGACCCCCCAGGTGGCTGTTCTGGGACAGGCTCCTCCCCAGTGCCACTGTTCCTGCCCCTGGAGTTGTTGGTGGTGACACAGGTGACCCCCAGGTGACACCCCAGGTGACACAGGTGTTCTCAGGTGACCCCCAGGTGTCCCCCCAGGTGACTGTTCCAGGACAGGCTTCTCCCTGATGTGACTGTCCCTTTCCTTAGGGGGTGGGGGGTGACACAGGTGACACAGGAAGGTGTCAGTGACCGAGGTGACCCCCAGGTGACACAGGTGACCCCTCAGATGACCCAGATGACACAGGTGTCCCCCCAAGTGACCCAGATGACCCCCAGGTGACCCCCTAGATGATGCAGGTGTCCCCAGGTGACCCCCCAGGTGGCTGTTCTGGGACAGGCTCCTCCCCAGTGCCACTGTCCCTGTCCCTGGGGTTGTTGTTGGTGACACAGGTGACCCCCCAGGTGACACAGGTGTCCCCACAGGTGGCTGTTCCAGGACGGGCTCCTTTCCAGTGCCACTGTCCCTGTCCCTGGGGGGTGGGGGGTGACACAGGTGATCCCCAGGTGACCCAGGTGTGCCCCAGGTGACCCCCAGGTGTCCCCAGGTGACCCCGGTGTCCCTCCCCAGGTGGCTGTTCCGTGACGGGCTCCTCCCGGACGCCACGCGGGTCGTTGGTTTCGCGCGGTCGCCGCTGACGGTGGAGCTGATCCGGGAGCAGACGCTGCCCTACCTCAAGGTGGGACACGGGGCCTGAACTGGGATGGACCTGGGCCTGAAACTGGGCTAAAACTGGGCTAAAACTGGGCTTAAACCTGGGCCTAAACTGGGATAGACCTGGGCCTGAAACTGGGCTGGACCTGGGCCTGGAACTGGGATGGACCTGGGCTAAAACTGGACTGTACCTGGGCCTAAACCTGAGCTGAACCTGGGCTGAGCCTGGGCCTAAACCTGGGCTGAACCTGGGCTGGACCTGGGCTAAAACTGGGCTGCACCTGGGCTGAGCCTGTGCCTAAGCCTGGGCCTAAATTTGGGATGGACCTGGACCTAAATCTGTGATGGACCTGAGTCTAAACCTGGGCTGAGTCTGGGTCTAAATCTGAGCTAAACCTGGGCCTAAACTTGGGCTGAGCGTGGGCCTAAACCTGTGGTGGACCTGGACTTAAACCTGGGCTTAAACCTGGACCTAAACCTGGGCTGGACCTGGGCTAAGACTGGACTGGACCTGGGCCTAAAGCTGGGCTGAACCTGAGTCTAAACCTGGACCTAAACCTGGGCTGGACCTGGGCCTAAACCTGGACTGAGTCTGGGTCTAAACCCGAGCCAAACCAGGGCTGGACCTGGGCTGGACCTGAGTCTAAACCTGGGCTGAACTTGGACCTAAACCTGGGTCTAAACCTGGGCTGAACCTGAGCCTAAATCTGAGTCTAAACCTGGACCTAAACCTGGACTGAGCCTGGGCTAAACCTGGGCCTAAAGCTGGGTGTGAACTGGACATGGGTGTCTCCTCTTACCTGTCTCAGGTGTCCTCAGGTGACCCCCGAGGACGAGCCCTGCCTGGCTGCGCTCCTGGCCCTGTGGCCCCTGTCCCCTGTCTCTCATCTGTTCCACCTGTCCTGGCCCACCTGTCCCTTCTTACCTGTCCCCTCTCACCTGTCCCCTCTCACCTGTCCCACCTGTCTTGTCTCACCTGTCCACTCTCACCTGTCCCCTCTCACTTGTTCCTTCTCACATGTCCCACCTGTCCTCTCTCACCTGTCCCACCTGTCCTGTCCCACCTGTCCCCAGGTGAGCCCTGCCTGGGTGTGTTCCTGTCCCTGCAGAGCTTCGTCCGGGGTCAATACAGGGACGAGGCCTCGTTCCTGTCCCACCTGTCCCC